TAAGATTGTCAAATTTGTTGGCATATAGTTGGGCAAAATAATTCCTAATTATTGTTTTAATTTCCTCTTCCTTGGTGGTAGCTTCACCCTTTTCATTCTTGATACTAGTAATTTGGTTTTCTTCTTTCTTTTTTATTTTCTATTTTATTGGTTTTTTCATAAAACCAGCTCTTAGTTTTATTTATTAGTTCAATAGTTTTCTTAATTTCAATTTTATTAATTTTTCCTTTGGTTTTCAATATTTCTAATTTGGTGTTTAGTTGAGGATTTTTAATTTGTTCTTTTTCTAGTTTTTTTAGTTGTATGCCCAATTCATTAATCTCCTCTTTTTCTATTTTATTTATGTAAGCATTTAGAGATATAAAACTTCCCCTAAGAACTGCTTTTGCTGCATCCCATAGGTTTTGGTATGTTGTCTCATTATTGTCATTCTCTTGAATGAAATTATTGATTGTTTCTATGATTTGTTGTTTGACCCAATCATTTTTTAGGATTAGATTATTTAGTTTCCAATTATTTTTTAGTCTATCATGGCCCTTTATTACATATAATTTTTTTGCATCATGATCTGAAAAGGATGCATTTAATATTTCTGCCTTTCTGCATTGGATTGTGAGGTTTTTATGCCCTAGTACATGGTCAATTTTTGTGTATGTGCCATGTACTGCCGAGAAAAAAGTATATTCCTTTCTATCCCCATTCAGTTTTCTCCAGAGGTCTATCATACCTAACTTTTCTAATGTTCTATTCACCTCCTTAACTTCTTTCTTGTTTATTTTGTGGTTAGACTTATCTAGTGCCAAGAGGGGGAGGTTCAGGTCCCCCACTAGTATAGTTTTGCTGTCTATTTCTTCCTGTAACTCCCTGAACTTCTCCTCTAAGAATTTGGATGCTATACCATTTGGTGCATATATGTTTAGTAATGATATTACTTCATTGTCTATGGTGCCTTTTAGCAGGATGTAGTTTCCTTCCTTATCTCTTTTGATTAGATCTATTTTTGCTTTTGCTTTGTCTGAGATCAGGATTGCTACCCCTGCTTTTTTTACTTCAGCTGAGCATAATATATTCTGCTCCAGCCTTTTACCTTTACCCTGTATGTGTCACTCTTTTTCAAATGTGTTTCCTGTAAACAACAAATATTGTAGGATTATGGTTTTTAATCCATTCTGCAATCCCCATTTTCCATTTTATGGGAGAGTTCATCCCATTCACATTCACAGTTATGATTACTATCTGTGTCTTTTTCTCCATCCTTTCCCCCCATTTATGCTTTTCTTTCTCCTTTTTCCTTTCCCCCTTCACTAGTGTTTTGCTTTTGACCACGCCTCCTTCAGTCCCTCCTCCCTTTTATTATCCCTTTCCCTTTTCTTCCCCTTTACTCTTACTGCTTCTTCCCTCCCTTCTTTCCCCCCCTCCTTTTTCTTTACCCCCCCTCTTTTCTTTCCCCTTTTCCCTCCTACTGCCTATAGGGCAAGTTAGATTTCTATACCTGATTATATTATGCCCTTCTTGAGCCAAATCTGATGAGAGTAAGGTTCAAACAATGCTCCCCCCCTTCTTTCCCTCTGCTGTAATAGGATTTTGTGTCTTTTCCTGTAATGTAATTTACCCTTGTCTGCCTCCTCCTTTCTCAGTACATTTTCTAAGATCAGATTGATCCACTTATTTGGATCCATTTAACCCACTTGATTAGATTTTTTTTTATCATTACATCAAAGTCAACTAATATCCACCCTCTTTATGTATACTCCTTTAACAAGGTGTAATAACAATACAGTTCTCAAGGGTTGCAAGTCTCATATTCCCTTGTAGGGGTTTAAACAGCCCCCCCCTTATTAACAACATATTGTATCTTTCTGTCCCATTTACCTTTTTAAGTCCTTCTTGAGTCCTGTACTTGAAGATCAAATTTTTTGTTGAGCTCTGGTCTTTTTATCAGGAAAGTTTGGAAGTCTCCTATTTCATTGAATATCCACCTCCTCCCTTGAAAAATGATGCTCATTTTTGCTGGGTAATTGATCCTTGGCTGCATTCCAAGCTCCTTTGCCTTACGGAATATCATGTTCCATGCCCTGCGGTCTTTTAATGTAGAAGCTGCAAGGTCCTGTGTAATCCTGACTGTGGTTCCATGATATTTAAATTGTTTCTTTCTGGCTGCTTGCAGCACCTTCTCTTTCATCTGGTAATTTTGGAATTTTGCTATTATATTCCTTGGCATTGTCAATTTGGGATCTCTTTCAGGTGGTGATGGTGGATTCTTTCTATGGTTATTTTCCCTTCTGGTTCTAGGACTTCTGGGCAGTTTTCCTTTATGATTTCCTGAAAGATACTGTCCAGGCTCTTTTTTTCATCATGATTTTCAAGGTAGTCCAATAATTTTTAAATTGTCTCTCCTGAGTCGATTTTCCAGGTCGTTGTTTTACTGATGAGGTATTTTACATTTTCATTTTTTTCATTTTTTTGTTTCTGTTTGACTGATTCTTGCTCTTCATAGAGACATTAGTTTCCATTTGTCCAATTCTAGTTTTTAACAGATTGTTTTCTTCTGTTAGTTTTTGTACTTCCTTCTTCAACTGGCCAATGTTTTTTAGGGACTTGTTTTCTTCAGTGTATTTTTTTCCAATTGGCCAATTGTATTTTTGAAGGACTCTTCTACCTCTCTCATTTGACTATTAAAATCCTTCTTGAGCTCTTCTAAGAAGGCTTTTTGGGCTTCAGACCAGTTCATATTCCCTTTTGTTGTTGCAGATGTGGGTTTGTTGACAATGTTGTCCTCTTCAGAATTTCTGTCTTGATCTTCACTCTTCTCATAATATGAATCTATGGTATGTTCTTTTTACTCATGGTGTTTCTTTATTCCCTGGCCTTTAAAGAGATTGAGCTCTCCTGCTGGGAACAGAGGGTACTGACCCAAGCTTCTGTGTGGAGCCTAGTCTGTCAGGCTTGTTGCTGGGCCTCTTATGCTGGCAATTGGAGGCTGTAGGTTTCTGGCAGCTTACCTGTGTTGGGCTGGAATCAGCAAGGCTGGAACTTTCAGGCAATTCTAGGTTGCCTGCTTTTCCTTTCCTTTAGCTTTCTTCAGCTCCTTTTAGATGGGTGCTGCAGGGTGTTTATCTGCCTGGGGCCCCTGCAGTGTTGTCTCCCTCGTTTCTGCTAATGCACTGGGAGATTCCTTTGTGGTGAGTGCCAAGGCCGTGGTTTTCTGAGCTGGTTTCCACGGTTCCCCCCTCACTGAGGCACTCGGAGGTCCAGGTGTTGGTGTTTGCCTGCTCTACCACCTGGGCTTCAGGATTTCTTCACAATTGGAGGCTACTGGACTCCTACAGCTCACTTGGTGTTGGGTTGGAATCAGCAAGGACGGAGCTTTAGGAAGCCTTTAGGTTGTTTTCTTCATCCCTTTTCAGATGAATGCCACAGGGTACTCATCGCCTGGGGCCCCTTGTAGTTCTGCCTCCCTTATTTTTGCTGAGGCACTGGGAGACCCATTTGCTGGGCTGCTGCACTGCTGCTCCCTGTCTTTCTTCTAGTTCAGGTGTTCCAGGGTTTTTTTTCTGGGGCGATATTTTCTGGGTTTTCAGAGGTTGACAGGGGAGAGTGACAGGGACTACCTTTTCACTCCGCCATCTTGGCTCCCAGAAGTGGAAGTCTCTCCCCAGCCTTCAAAGGGAGCCCATTCCACTTTGGGAACAACTCTCATTTTAAGAGTTGTTCATCCAATAACAGTAGCACTTCCAAGTTCTAACAAACTTCACAGAACAAATCCCCTTAATAAAAGGATTTGTTCTGTAAAATTGGGACTGGGTGAAAAGGCCAAACCCAAGGACCTAGAAGGCCACATGTGGCCCTAAGGCAACAGGTTCCCCACCCCTGTCCTACACTCAGTCCTTAGCTACTTATATTTGAGATTGTGTATTTTGGTCCCTGAGTTTTTTCTCCACTTACCACAGGTGGAGATAGTGCCTGTAGAAAAGGGGATTTACATATTTCCCCCAACAGGTTCTCTGGGGCCAACCTCCACTGCACAGGCCATAGGCCAAGGCCAAGGCCAAACCAACAGCCAAAGATCTAAAGTCATGGCATGTGTGTATGTGTGTGTGAAAAAAGATGAGGGTAGGCCCCCAGGCCTCTGACTAGTCAACAAGGTAATCCCGACCAGAGGAGGTAGAAGAGGCTGCAGTGGCTTTATTTCTTTGCTCAGTGAGCCCAAGGATGTAAAGAGGAGGACAGGGGTGCCAGCAGTGCTGCCAAGGCTCTGTCTAGTGAGCTCCATCTCCTTTTCCCTTCTACCTCCTGCCTCAGACCCAAGCACCAGATGGGGCAGATTGCAAGGCCAAATAATGCTGCTGCTACTACTGGCCAACCCAGAAGGCCTCCCCCATATCTCCCTCAGTCCTACCAGTCCTGCCTGATTGGTATCTATTAGTCATCACCCTAAAACCAAAAAAGAATCCAAATGGACTCTTGGAAATTAAAAAAAAAATCAGTAATGGGCAGAGAAAGGATGCAGTTTACAGTCACCAGAAGCACCTCAGGAAAACCACTTAAAAGAGGAAAGGTCATAGTTTAGGGAAAGGCTTCCACATGTGCCACGTGCTGGAGACCCTGGCTGCCTTAGCTTTCTGACCAGCTGGCTCACAGTCAGATCTTGTCAGAATAGAAAAGCAGGCGGCCTGGATCGCTAGGGTCCAAGGGGAGAGCAGGACATCTGGTCCAATCCCTTGTTTTTCAGGGAAGAGAGAAGTTTGGAAGGGAATAGCTGGTTTTGAAGGGCAGACTCCAGGAGGGTGTGTCGGTCTCCAGGAGCATCTGGATGATCTAACACTGCAATTCTCAGCTATCTTTGTAGCTCCACATACTTACAGCCATCACTTTGAAGTAGTTCCCAAGTTCAATTTTCACAAGGTAATAGAGCAGCTTCCGGTTTCGGGCTTCCGGTTTCCGGCGCCCATAAAAGGCAGCCCTCGGATGGGTCGTGTCAGAGCGCATGTGCACTGAGGCCTGCGGCAGCTGCCGGTGGCCCAGGGCGTCCAGGAGCCATGATCGAGGTTGTGTGCAACGACAGGCCGGGCAAGAAGGTCCGTGTGAAGTGCAGCCCCGACGACTCCATCGGGGACCTGAAGAAGCTGGTTGCGGCTCAGACGGGCACCCGTTGGAACAAGATCGTCCTGAAGAAGTGGTACATGGTGTTCAAGGACCACGTGACGCTGGGGGACTATGAAATCCACGACGTAATGAGCCTGGAGCTGTATTACCAATAGGGCATGGCCAGCGCCCAAATCGGCCAAATGCCCAAATCTGTGCCTCTCTCCTGTTTTTTCAAAAAATAAAGTAAAATAAATTTTAAAAAGAGTAAACTTAAAAATACATAAAGTGGGGAAGTTGGACTAAGTCTAATGTCTCTTCAAGCTCTAGATCAATGGGAACTCTTGTCCAAAAGATTATCCACAGTGATGTGGACTCTTGTTCACTCCAGACCCCTGGACAAGCTTGGGGCTCCTGGAAACAGGGTAGAACTGAGATGGTTGGGTTGAGGCCAGTCTTGGGGAAAGGAGGTAGAAGAGACAAAGACAAATGCATCTGAAGACATTCCAAAATCAACCATAAATGACATTTGCATCCTTCCTTATCTTACCTACATCTTCCACTATATATTTTGACACCTAGAATTCAGAGTTGACTCATTATGGGAAATACACAGATACAAATCTGTTTCTTGAATGAGGTTGATGTGAACTGAGAATGTCACTTTGGGAGGAGGAGGGACAAACATTCTTTCAATATTGCTTTAGGCAGTGAGAGTTTCTTTCCAGGAAGTGTTAAGTTCCCCCAATTCTAAGGTGCTGTCTCTTTTGCAGCCCTCTGTAGAGTGATTTTTAAGTCCCTCCTTTTCCCCCTGCCCAATATATACCGTCTATTTCTTGGAACCAAACCTCTCTTTGCTTATGCACTACTCTTCCAGAGACTTGAAATAAGAGTGATCCTTGAAGCTCTCAGAACCTGAGCCTTAGGCTCAGATGCTAGGGAGTGAAATCTCTAAGCAGTCCCATGGCTCACAGCCATCAGGAAGATTCCCTAGATTCTATCCTGGGTTTTGACCTAGTATGAGTATTTGTCAAAATATCCCTACTTTGTAAATGGATTGGAAGGAGAGAAAGTTTGTTCAGATGTTGCAAAAAAACATTTTTTTCCAGCACAAGAGGAGGGTCAGTAAGGTAAACTATTCATATGAAGATTATATTAATTCTTATCACATAATTATACAGGATTTCCTAAAAAATGTAATGCTATTTTAAGCTATTAGACTGGCTCTAAGACTTTTGAGACATGCTATATATTTTAAATGCTTTCACATGGATAAGTATAGAGAATGGACTGTGATTTCACAGGTATAGGGAACTCAACTGATAGTTGTAGGGAGTTGCCTAAAACTTTGAAGGGTTAAGCAATTTACATAGGGTCACATAGTCAATATATGTCAGAAGCAGGAGCAATCTGTTTGAAGAATGAACCCACCATCTTTACCAACACCACCAACATCAATTGCCAGCAATGGGCAGATAATCCCAGGAGCCCTATGAGTGCATCATCCCTCAGAACACTGGCCCTACTTCTATCCTAACCCCTGCAGCCATCATCCAGGACAGCAATCCCTGTGGCTAATGGGTCTACCAACCCCACCAACTACTAACCATTAGCCACCCAGCAAACCTAGGTAAAATGGCAAGGCACCATAAGGGAGAGACACAGGAGACATCACATGATGGGCAACTCAAATCACTGCTACCACATCCCCTAGAAATCAAATGTAAATAGTCCAGGATCTTAAGCCCAACAGTCTAGGAATAGCCTATTTCCAGGAATAGCCCTGTTCCTAGCCCAATCTCCACAGCCAGCATGCAGGGAATCGGTTGTTGCAGAGATGGGACCTAGCAATGACTTCTGCAGCCTCTGTTTCCCCAGGAGTCATAGCTACTTGATCAAGACCTGGGGAAAAATGTTCTCACTGCTGAAGTCTTTGGCACTGTCAAATGGTTTAACATTAGAAATGTTATGGTTTTATTAATGGGGAAAAATACATTAAAGGAAATGAATTACCATTCCTTTGCACACTAAAGACCAAAAGGATTTCTGTATGACTTGCCTCTGAGTGGGCAGGAGGGGAGGAGACTAAGAAAGACCTCCTGCCAAAGGTTAGGGTTAAGTGACTCGCTTAGGGTCACAGACCCAGTATGCTTAAAGGGCAAGACTTGAACCCACGTTGTCCTGACTTAGAGGTTCACTTTCTACCCACTATACCACACTGACTCTAAAAGATCAATCTAAAAGATAAAATCTAAAAATCTAAAAGATAAACAGTGTTGCCAAGAGTGGGTTTTGGACCAAGATCTAACATGGCAATGTTCTGTGTGAAGTTTTTGTGATTTAAGTTTTCTTGGCATGGCACCATAAGCTGCTAGGGTTTACCAGTGCCGGGACCCGTACCTAAAGAGTATGGATGTGGATGTGAAGAGATTAGAATCAGGTTGAGAGGTACTTGATGTAAGGTATTAAAAAGAAACCAAATGCTGCAGAACACTGAGGGGGAAATGGAAGATGAGGGGAGGAACCAACCTTTGATAGCGGTTCCTCTTTTAGCTAAATCTAGCTTATGGCAAACACACCCATACTGTGGACGTATATTTCATTGGAAGCTGTTTCCTAAAAACTGAGAAATAGTCTGACAGTTCAAGTTAGGAAAGGGAAGATCTACAGACTGCCTTGGAGAACTAAGATTAGGTGAAATCAGGAGCTGGAATGGATTACACCCTGGAGCCAAATGGGTCCATGACCACAGAAGATTATTATCCAGACATGCTGGCCAGCTCCTGCCACACTACATTCCAGCTCTCTGCTTCTTGCCTTGCTCTACTGCCTCCTCTTTGTCTTTGGCCTGCTGGGGAATGCCCTGGTCATTTTGGTTCTGGTAGCCCATAAGAAGCTGAGAAGCATGACTGATGTGTACCTGCTGAACCTGGCCATCTCCGACCTGCTCTTCGTGTTCTCCTTCCCCTTCCTGACACACTACACTCTGGACCAGTGGGTGTTTGGGAACACCATATGCAAGGTCATCTCAGGAGTTTATTACATCGGCTTCTTCAGCAGCATCTTTTTCATCACCATCATGAGCATGGACAGGTACCTGGCTATCGTCCATGCAGTCTATGCCTTGAAGGTGAGGACGACCAGGAAGGGCATGGCTGTCAGCCTCCTGGTGTGGTTGGTGGCTGTTTTAGCCTCTGTCCCTTTGCTGGTGTTTTACCAGGTGTCTTCAGAGGAGGGCACTCTCAAGTGCTACTCCTTCTATGATGACAGAACTATTGAGTGGAAACTCATCACCCACTTTGAAATCAACAAAACCCTTGTAGCAAATGTGCATAGACAAGCCAAACAAATTCTCACATTGGTCATGTCCAAAAATATGCCTCATTCTACAGTTTGAGGCCATCATTTCTCTGTCAGGAGTGGGTAGCATGCTTCCTCATCAGTTACCTGTAATCTCAGCTGGTCACTGCATGGATCAGAGTTCCTAAGTCTTCCAAAATTGCTTTTCTTGACAATGTTATTTCTATCATATAAATTGTTCTACTTGTTCAGCTCACTTCATTGTGAATCAGTTCATATGACTCTTCCTATGTTTCTCTTGAACTATCTATTTTATTTCTTATGAAACAATAGCAGTCCATTACATTCATCTACCATAATTACTCAGTCCAGTCCCCTCATTTTACAGGTAAAGAATCTCACCTGTAAAATGACTTGCCTCAGGCAACACAGATAGTTAAAAAAAAAAAAGTGGAACCAACTTACATCCTCTGACCCCACAGTCAGTATTCTTTCCATTACAACACACTGCATAGGATATTCAAAGTTTATGCTAGCTATTAAGAAATGCAGCTTTTGTTAGGACCACAAGTCCACTCTATATGAGTTTGGGATTGAACTATGAAAAAAGGAGGGATTAATAGGGATATATTGAGAGTCAAAAGACCTGGGTTGGAATCTTGGTTCTTCAACTTGCTACCTGGGCTAGTCATTTATATCCTTGGACCTCAGTTTCCTCCTGTGTAAAACAAGAGCCTTGGATCCAAGGATCTTTAAGGTCCTTCTCTTTTAGCTCAAAATTTTTTGATCCTATGACTGTACCCACAGGAAAAAGTAATAATCTGCATTGCATCTAAGATCACTGTTATTATGAGATAAAACTGATCAATTAAGTCAGTGAATGTGAGAGTAAAGTAACGTGCCTGTGTATAAGAAACAGGAGAGAACGGCAGGAAGTTGTGTATGAGATATGATGCTACTATCATTTCTGCCGTATTCTACAAGAACCTTAATTCTTCTGGTTGGAAAGCAAACAAGTAGTTGACATGTATTTGTGTAGTTACACTAGCCTCTCCAAACCCCTCAGCCTCAGTGAAAGGCTAAGGATCTTACATGACTTGGCAGCTTCAATTCAGAAAGGACTGAGAGCTAAGCTGCATCCAAGGAGAGGCCATCTGGACTTTGTCTTGGGGGACTGGAAATGAGAAGACACCAGTGCAACTTGTATTCCTTTGGCAGCTAGAACTAATTAAAGCCACTCCTTAATTAGCAAGAATAATTAGTTAAAATTAGAAGCTACTCCACTGTGTGCTTAAGTGACCATGCAAATTTGCCATCTTCACCATTACCGTTGTTGACCTCCACAGTCTTAAAGTATACTGAAATCTTCCACCATGGGCCCCTGTGTTCCGAAGCCTCTCCCCGACATCTAAACATTCCCCAACAGCTAAATTTACCTTGACAAATTGATTTAGGGATCTTCCAAGCTGTTTGTCCTAAGCGAGTGTTACAAGTTTGTCTATGAGAAACCAGTTTGTCTATTGCCACTAGGGGACTGTAGTAGGCAAAAGTTGGGGGTGGGGTATAGCATTTTTATGTCTAGTAAGTTCAATAAATGGGCTCCAGAGATCATTTTTATAAACAATGCAGGACCTCTGTAACCTTCAAATCAGCCAGATTCCACAGCCAGCTTGAGGGTTACTGATCTATTCCTACCTTGCTCTGTCTTTGGTTGACTAGACCACATGAACTGATGCATCATCATCATTATTCTTTCTTCTTCCTCCTCCTCCTTTGCAACTGGGGTTAAGTGACTTGCCCAGGGTCACACAGCTAGTAAGTGTTATGTGTCTGAGGCCAGATTTGAATTCAGATCTTCCTGACTCCAGGGCCTCTGCTCTATCCACTGCACCACTTAGCTGCGCCAAACTGATGCATTCTTTAAAAAAAAACTCATCAAATCTACCAGTAGGACTATCAGTTGCCCCATGTTAAACCAGTTTATCTGGAATGAGAAGTCTGGCACTTACTATGATTTTAAGAAAATCTTGAGTCCAACCTTTCCTGTATTTCTATATTTATCAGATGGCCAGGGAAAACACATGCTATGGAGAGGGAGAATGGAATAGGGACACCAAGGACAGTGTCTGGCTGATTACAATGTCCAGTTCTACCAGAAAGCAAAACTTTGTTCTCCTTAACTCTTGTTCCACTTCTGTCCCTTTCTCTACCCCCTCTTCCTCCCTCTTTTCATCTCTCTCTTACTTTAAACCCCTCTCTCCTTTTCATTTTTCTCTCCATTTTCCTTCTTCTCCTCTCCATCTTTCCCCCCTTTTCTCCTTCTATCTCTCATCTTTTTCTCTTTCCTTGTCCCTCTCTCCTCTTCCTCTTATCCTCTTTCTGTCTCTTCATCTCATTTTGTCCTTTCTTCTCTCTTCTATTTCTCTTCCTTCCTCTCTGTTACCTTCTCTCTCTCATTCTTTTCTCCTTCCCTCTTTCCTTTTTTTCCTCTCTTTACTTTATTCCTGCTCCCTCTGCTTCTTCTGGAGGTATCTGGTGGAAACTAGGGAATTGTTGGACAACTGGCTTCACTTACAGGTTACTGGGTGGCTGACCTTTGCTTTAAAGAGTCACAAAATTATAGGTCCTACAGTGAACTTTTTACAAATGAAAAACAACATCCCTAGTACACGTCTGAGAACATGACCTTGTATCCTGTGGTCAAATATATACTGTGTGGGAGAGATAGTTGTGGTTGCAGGGTACTGAGCAGTAAGAAGAGATCAAAGAAGAACTTGCACTTGGACCATATCATTGGATTATTTGTGCTGTCATAAATATCAGGTTACCAGATGTACCTTTCCACAACTAGAGAGATTAAATCTCTTGTTTGTTATAGGTTCTCTTTTATATTTTTAAACTTTTGGAGGTAAGAAGAACCTTTATAATAGAAGAGATCCATAGGCTTCCTCAAACACTGACCAAGGGGTCCATAACACAGAAAAAGTTAAAAACTCCTACCCTAGAGAGTTATATTAGGGGGGTTTGGGCTGAATATTGTTAGATCAATCCCAGGTCTTCTGACTCCCATGTTTTATGTCTTAGTCTGAGGATTAGAGTCAGATTGAGTCAATGAATCAATAAACATTTATTAAGAGCCTACTATGTGCCAGGCACTGTGCTAAGTGCTGCGTGTGTGTGTGTGTGTGTGTGTGTGTGTGTGTGTGTGTGTGTGTGTGTGAGAGATGGGGAGGGAGTGGGAGAGGGAGAGGGAGAGGGAGGGAGGAAAGGAGGGAGGGGGAGGGAGAGAGAGAGAGAGAGAGAGAGAGAGAGAGAGAGAGAGAGAGAGAGAGAGAGAGAGAGAGAGATAGTATGCTTCAGTCTGCATTCTGACTCCATCAGTTCTTTCTCTACAGGTGGATAACATTTTTCATCATGGGCTTTGGGATCATCTTGGATCACTGTTTTGCTGAGAATAGCTAAATCATTCACAGTTGCTCATTATGCAATATTGCTATTATGTGTACAATGTTTTCCTGGTTTTGCTCACTTCACTCTGCATCAGTTCATGTAAGTCTTTCCAGGTTTTTCTAAAACTACGCTGCTCATCATTTCTTACAGCACAATAATATTTCATTACAATCATATACCACAACTTGTTTAGTCATTCTGCAACTGATGGACATCCTCTCAACTTCAAATTCTTCGCCACCAAAAAAAGAGAGTTGCTATAAATATTTTTGTACAGATAGGTTGTTTTCCATTTTTTTTTTATCTCTTTGGGATACAGACCTAGTAGCTGTATTGCTGGATCAAAGGATTTGCAAAGTTTTATAGCTCTTTGGACACAGTTCCAAACTGCTTTCCAGAATGGTTGATCAGTTCACAACTCCAACAACAATGCATTAGTGTCCTTGTTTGCCCACATCTTCTCCAAAATTTATCATTTCCCTTTTCTGTCATATTAACCAATCTGATGAGTGTGAGATGGTATCTTGGAGTTGTTTTAATTTGCCTTTCTCTAATCAATAATGATTTAGAGCATTTTTCATATGAATATAGATACCTTTAATTTCTTCTGGAAACTGTTCATAACCTTTGACCATTTACCAATTGGGGAAGGACTTATAGTCTTATGAATTCTCACTCAGTTCCCTATATATTTGAGAAACAAGGCCTTTATCAGATCTACTTGTTGTAATTATTTTTTCATAGTTTTCTGCTTTCCTTCTAATTTTGGTTGCATTAGTTTTGTTTATGCAAAACTTTGTTCATTTTTATAGAATCAAAATTATCTATTTTAAATTTTGAAATGCTCCCTGTGTCTTGTTTGGTCCTAAATTCTTCCCTTATCCATGGATCTGGCATATAAACTATTCCACGTCCTCCTAACTTGCTTATGGTATCTCTGTCTAGATCATGTACCCATTTTCACCTTATCTTGGTGTAAGGTATAAGATGTTGGTCTATAGCTAGTTTCTTCTGCCATACTGTTTTCCAGTTTTCCCAGCAGTTTTTGTCAAGTAATTAGTTTTTGTCCCCAAAATTCAAATCTTTGGGTTTATCAAATACTAAATTACTATGGTCACTTACTACAGTATATTTGTGTACCTAATCTATTCCATTGATCCACTACACTATTTCTTAGCCAGTACGAGATTGTTTTGATAATTACTGCTTTATAATACAGTTTGAGATCAGGTATGGCTAGGCCACTTTCCTTCACATTTTTTCCCCCCATTAATTCCCTTGCTATTCTTGGCCTTTTGTTTTTCCAGATGAATTTTATTATTTTTTCCAGTTCCATAAAATAATTTTTTGGTAATTTGATTGGTATGGCACTGAATAAGTAGATTAACTTAGGTAGAATTGTCATTTTTTATTACGTTGGCCCAGCCTACCCATGAGCAATTAATTTTTTTCCCAATTGTTTATGTCTGACTTTATTTGTGTGAGAAGTGTTTTATAATTGTGTTTATATAGTTCCTGAGTTTGTCTAGTAGGTAGACTCCCAAGCATTTTACATTATAACAGTTATTTTAAATGGAATTTCTCTTTCTATTTCTTGCTGCTGGTTGGTAATATATAGAAATGCTAATGACTTATGTGGGTTTATTT